CTGGATTTGGATCCACTGTGGGAATTCCCTGGGCTGGATTTGGGATCCACTGTGGGAATTCCCTGCACTGGATTTGGGATCCCCTCGGGAATTCCCTGGGCTGGATTTGGGATCCCCTCGGGAATTCCCTGCACTGGATTTGGGATCCCCTCGGGAATTCCCTGCACTGGATTTGGGATCCACTGTGGGATTCCCCTGGGCTGGATTTGGGATCCCCTCGGGAATTCCCTGCGCTGGATTTGGGATCCCCTCGGGAATTCCCTGGGCTGGATTTGGGATCCCCTCGGGAATTCCCTGGGCTGGATTTGGGAATCCTCCCATGCGGATTTGGGGATCCCTTGAGCTGAATTTGGGGATCCCTTTGGGAATTCCCTGGGCGGGATTTGGGGAATCCCAGGAACACCCTAAGGTGGATTTTGGGGATCCCTCGGGAATTCCCTGGGCTGGATTTGGGATCCCCTTTGGGAATTCCCTGGGATGGGTTTGGGATCCCCTCAGGAATTCCCAGGGATGGATTTTGGGATCCACTGTGGGAATTCCCTGGGCTGGATTTGGGATCCCCTTTGGGAATTCCCTGGGATGGGTTTGGGATCCCCTCAGGAATTCCCAGGGATGGATTTTGGGATCCCTTGAGTTGAATTTGGGGATCCCCTTGGGAATTCCTTGGGTGGGATTTGGGGATCCCCTCGAGGACCCTCCTGGGCAGAGCCCGGGGATCCGAACAATCCCAGGAATGACCAAAAAAATTCGGGAATTCCAGAGAATTTGAGCGGCTCCGAAAATCCCAAAATAATCTGGGATCCCAAAATCTGGGATTGAAATTCCAGGAATTCTAACGCCACCAAGGAGGCCCAAAACCCCAAAATCCAGGATTGGAATTTTGGGAATTCCAATGGCTCCAAGGAGCCCAAAATCCCAAAATATGGGATCAGAATTCTGGGAATTCCAAAGCCACCTAAGAGGCCCAAAATCCAGGATTGGAATTCTGGGAATTCTGGCGTCATGGAGGCCCAAAATCCCAAAATCTGGGATCAAAATTCCAGGAATTCTGATGGCACCACCAGGATCCAAAACCCCAAAATCCAGGACCGGAATTTCAGGAATTCCAATGGCTCCAAGGAGCCCAAAATCCCAAAATATGGGATCAGAATTCTGGGAATTCCAAAGCCACCTAAGAGGCCCAAAATCCAGGATTGGAATTCTGGGAATTCTGGCGTCATGGAGGCCCAAAATCCCAAAATCTGGGATCAAAATTCCAGGAATTCTGATGGCACCACCAGGATCCAAAACCCCAAAATCCAGGACCGGAATTTCAGGAATTCCAATGGCTCCAAGGAGCCCAAAATCCCAAAATTTGGGATCAGGATTCTGGGAAAGCCATCCAAAGGTCCAAAATCCGGGATCGGAATTTTGGGAATTCCGATGGCTCCGAGAAGGCCCCAAAATCCCAAATCCCCAAAATCTGGGATCAGAGTTTTGGGAATTCCAAAGTCATCACAGAGGCCCAAAATCTGGGATCAGAATTTTGGGAATTCCAACGGCTCCAAAAAGGCCCAAAATCCCCAAAACCCCAAAATCTGGAATTGGAATTTTGATGCCACCACCGGGGTCCAAAACCCCAAAATTTGGGATCAGAATTCCAGCAATTCTAACACCACGGAGGAGGCCAAAAAACCCCGAAGTCTGAGATTGGAATTTTGGGAATTCTGATGGCTCCAAGGAGGCCCCAAAATTCCAAATCCCCAAAATTCCAAATCCCCAAAATTCCCACGATCCCCAAATTTGGGATCAGGATTCTGGGAAAGCCATCCAAAGGTCCAAAATCCGGGATCGGAATTTTGGGAATTCCGATGGCTCCGAGAAGGCCCCAAAATCCCAAATCCCCAAAATCTGGGATCAGAGTTTTGGGAATTCCCAAGACACCTAAGAGGCCCAAAATCCTAAAATCCTGGATAGGAATTCCAGAGGCCCCAAATCCCCAAAACCCGGGATCGGAATTTTGATGCCACCACCGGGGTCCAAAACCCCAAAATTTGGGATCAGAATTCCAGGAATTCCAACGCCACGGAGGAGGCCAAAAAACCCCGAAGTCTGAGATTGGAATTTTGGGAATTCTGATGGCTCCAAGGAGGCCCCAAAATTCCAAATCCCCAAAATTCCCACGATCCCCAAATCCCCAAGACCCAAAATCTCAAACCCCAAATCCCCAAAATCCGGGATGGGAATTCCAGGAACTGGGGACAGAATTCCCGGTTTTGGGTCCCACGGATGCTCCCAGGATGGGATGGGGATAAACGAGGTGTTATGAATATGCAAATGATACATTTGCATCTCATTAGCGACAGGATTCCTGCAGCAGATTCTGGGAATTTGGGATTTTGGGAATTTTTGGGAATTTGGGAATTCCCTTCTTGGAAGCCCAGGATGGGTTTGGGGTCCCCTGAAGGATCTCGGAATTCCCAGGATGGAATTTGGGACTCCCTGAGGGGGAATTTGGGATTTGGGATCCCCCCGGGATGGGATTTGGGATTTGGGAATTCTCTGAGAGAGAATTTGGGATTTGGGAATCCAGCTGGGATTTGGGATCCCTCAGGATCCTCTCAGGTTTGGGATCCTCTCAGGGATCTCTGGGATTGGGATTCGGGATCCCCTGAGGGGGAATTTGGGATTGGGAATTCCCTGGGTTGGGATTTGGGGATTTGGGATCCTCCAAAGTGGAATTTGGGATCCCTTGGGCTGGATTTGGGGATTTGGGAATTCCCTCGGGATCCTCTCAGGTTTGGGATCCTCCCAGGGACCTCTGGGATGGGATTTGGGATTTGGGATCCCCCAGGATGGGATTTGGGGTTTGGAATTTGGGAATTCCCTGCGATCAGATTTGGGATTTGGGATCCCCCGGGATGGGTTTGGGATCCACTCAGGGATCTCTGGGATTTGGGAATTCCTTGAGTTGGGATTTGGGGATGTGGGATCCCCTGGGATGGGATTTGGGATCTCTCAGGGATCTCTGGGATTTGGGATCCTCTGAGGAGAAATTTGGGATTTGGGAATTCCCAGGGTTGGGATCCCTCAGGATGGGTTTGGGATCCCCTCAGGGATCTCTGGGATGGGATTTGGGGATTTGGGAATTCCCAGGGTTGGGATCCCTCAGGATGGGTTTGGGAATTCTTTGGGATGAGATCTGGGCTCCTCCGAGCTGGGATTTGGGATCCCCTGAGGAGAAATCTGGGATTTGGGAATTCCCTGGGATCAGATCTGGGATCCCCCGGGCTGGATTTGGGGCCGGGATTGGGAATTCCCTCAGGGAGCTCTGGGATGGGTTTGGGACCCCCAAAATTCGGGATTCGGGATCCACTTGGGAACGGCCCGAGCTGGGACTGGGGAACCCCTGGGAACTGCCCCAGCAGATCCCAGGAAATCCCAGTTTATCCCAGTTTATCCCAGTTCAGTCCCTCCCAGTCCATCCCAGTTTATCCCAGTCCATCCCAGTCCCTCCCAGTTTATCCCAGTCCATCCCAGTCTCTCCCAGTTCTCACCGGGCGCCGCCGCCGCCCCCGGAGCCACTTCCGGCCGCGCTCGGCCGCGATGACGTCACCCCCGGAATGGGCGGGGCCTCAGCGGGAACTGGGAGGGACTGGGATAAACTGGGATAAATTGGGATAAACTGGGATAAACTGGGATAAATTGGGATAAACTGGGATAAACTGGGATAAATTGGGATAAACTGGGATAAACTGGGATAAATTGGGATAAACTGGGATAAACTGGGATAAATTGGGATAAACTGGGATAAACTGGGATAAACTGGGGTGGATTCGGGGAAGCTTTAAAAGGGGAATTCTCAGGAGAGAGGGATCCCAAAATCGGGGATTTCCCGACAAAAATCGGGGATTGAAGCCCAAAATTTGGGGATTTAATCCCAAAATTCGGGGATTTTACCCCATAATTCGGGGATTTAACCCCAAAATCGGGGATTTCGCCCCAAAATTCGGAGATTTAACCCCAAAATTCGGGGATTTAAAGCCAAAATCGGTGATTTAACCCCAAAATCGGGGATTTAACCCCAAAAATCAGGGATTTCACCCCAAAAATCGGGTATTTCCTGCCAAAAATCCAGGATTTCACCCCAAAATTCGGGGATTGAACCCCAAAATTCGGGGATTTAACCCAAAAAATCGGGTATTTCCTGCCAAAAATCCAGGATTTCATCCCAAAATTTGGGGATTTCCCGCCAAAAATCGGGGATTTCACCCCAAAATCGGGGATTGAAGCCCAAAACCCGGAGGATTTAACCCCGAAAATCGGGAATTTCATCTCGAAGATCGGGGATTTAATTCCGAAATCAGGGATTTCTCCCCCAAAATCGGGGATTTCACCCCCAAAATCAGGGATTTTCTGCCAAAAATCGGGGATTTAACACCAAAAATCGAGGATTGAACCCAAAAAATTCGGGAATTTCACCCCAAAATCGGAGATTTTACCCCAAAACCGCATTTTCCCATCAAGGTGGGTTTGGAGGATTTGGGATCACCCCAAAAAAGCGAATTCAGGGTTTTTCTCCCCAAAATCTCAATCCCGACGAAGGTGCGATTGGGGAATTTGGGGTCACCCCAAAAATCGGGGATTTCACCCCAAAAATCGGGGATTTCACTCCAAAACCGCATTTTCTGATCAGAATGGGACTGAGGAATTTGGCATTTAACCTTAAATATAAAACCCCATAAAAAGAAATACAAAAACCATAAAACTAAACTAAAACCGGGGAAATTCAATTAAAACCCGAAAAATCCCGGCTGAAATTGGCGGGAACAGCGCGGTGCTCGCCGCGCATGCGCCGCGCGGACTCCCCGTCGCGATGACGTCACCGGCAGCGCGGCCCATCAGGCTCCGCGCGCGGGGCCGGCGGCAGCAGCAGAGTGGCGCAGCGGGAGCGTGCTGGGCCCATAACCCAGAGGTCGATGGATCGAAACCATCCTCTGCTAGTTCTTTTCTTTCTCGTTCCCCTCGAATCCTCCCCTCATTTTCCGAATTCCTCCTTCATTATTCCATTGATTTTCGGGTTTTTCCCTCATTTCCCCCATTTTTGCTTCTATTTTTCCCCTCCATTTCTCTATGTATTTTGCATTTTCCCCTCCTTTTCCCCATTTCTGCCCTTATTTCCCCCTCAATTTCTCAATTTAATTCCAATTTTTTCCCATTTCCCCCTCAATTTTTCCATTTATTTTGCATTTTCCCCTCCTTTCCCCCATTTCTGCCCTCATTTTCCCCTTCAATTTCTCAATTTAATTCCAATTTTTTTCCCATTTCCCCCTCAATTTTTCCATTTATTTTGCATTTTCCCCTCCTTTTCCCCATTTCTGCCCTCATTTCCCCCCCAATTTTCCCACTTCCCCCTCCATTTTTCCATTTAATTTCAATTTTTTTCCCATTTCCCCCTCAATTTTTCCATTTATTTTGCATTTTTCCCTCATTTCCCCCCTCATTTTCCCCATTTAATTTCAATTTTTTTCCTCATTTCTCCATTTATTTCCCCTTTTCCCCCTAAATTTTCCATTTATTTCGGTTTTTCCCCCTCATTTCCCCGTTTTTCCCCTCAATTTTTCCATTTATTTTGCTTTTTTCCCAATTTTTTCCCATTTCCCCCTTTTTTTTCCATTTATTTTCTCCTTTTTTCATTTCCCACTGTTTCCATAATTTTTCCCATCCCCCCTCATTTTCCCCATTTAATTTCAATTTTTTTAGCTCATTTTCCCCATTTCCCCCAGAGTTTTTCCATTTATTTTGCATTTCCCCCTCAATTTCCCTCAGTTTGGGGAGAAAATCCGAGATTTTGGACAAAAATTCGAAGCTTTTGGGATAAAACGTGAGGATTTTTGGAAGGGAATTTGGGGGTTTTGGGGTGAAATTCTGGGATTTTGGGGGAAATTTGGAGATTTTGAGATAAAAATTGAAAATTTTGGGTGAAATTTGGAGATTTTGGAGTGAAATTTGGGGTGAAAATGGGGGATTTTGGGGCAAAATCGGAAAATTTTGGGTGAAATTTGGTAGTTTTGGGGTGAAAAATGAGGAATTCTGAGGTGGAATTTGTGGGTTTGGAGTAAAAATTTGCGATTTTGGGGCAAAATTTGAGAATTTTAGGGTAAAATTGGGGGATTTTGGGTTAAAATTCTGGGATTTTGAGAGGAATTTTGGAGGTCGGGGAGGAACTTTGAGGATTTTGGGGTGAAAAAATGGGGATTTTTGAGATGGAATTTCAAAATTTGAGGATTTTAGGGTGAAAATTTGGGATTTTGGAGGGAAAATTGGGGATTTTTGGGGCGAAATTTAAGAATTTGGGCTGAAATTCGGGGATTTTGGGGTGAAATTTGGAGATTTTGGGGTAAAAAGGATTTTGTTTTTTTTTTTTTTTTCTTTCTGGGGAAGGAAATTTGGGAATTTGTTTGGGTTTTTTCCTTTTTGGGAGGACGGAAATTTGGGATTTTTGTGGAAAGTAAATTTGGGAATTTTTTTTAATTGGTTTTCCCTTTTTGGGGGCAGAGAAATTTGGGATTTTTGGGGTTTTTTTCTCGGAGGGGGTAGGGGAAATTTGAGGATTTTTGGGGGAGAAGAATTTGGGGTTTGGGGTTTTTTCTTTTTTGGGGAGGAGAAATTTGGGATTTTGGGGTTTTTTTCCTTTTTGGGGGAGGGGAAATTTGGGATTTTTGGGGATGGGGAAATTTGGGATTTTTGGGTTTTCACTTTTTAGGGGAGCAGAAATTTGGAATTTTTGGGTTTTTAATGGGGAATTTGGAATTTTGGAGTTTTCCCTCTTTAGGGGAGCAGAAATTTGGGATTTTATTTGGGTTTTCACTTTTTAGGGGAGCATAAATTTGGGATTTTTGGGGATGCAGAAATTTGGAATTTTGGGGATGGGGAAATTTGGAATTTTGGGGTTTTCCCTTTTTAGGGGAGCAGAAATTTGGGATTTTTGGGAATGGGGAATTTGGAATTTTGGAGTTTTCCCTCTTTAGGGGAGCAGAAATTTGGGATTTTTGGGTTTTTTTCCTTTTTGGGGGAGGGGAAATTTGGGATTTTTGGGGATGGGGAAATTTGGGATTTTTGGGGATGGGGAAATTTGGAATTTTGGGTTTTTTTCCTTTTTGGGGGAGGGGAAATTTGGGATTTTTGGGGATGGGGAAATTTGGAATTTTGGGTTTTTTTCCTTTTTGGGGGAGGGGAAATTTGGGATTTTTGGGGATGGGGAAATTTGGAATTTTGGGTTTTTTTCCTTTTTGGGGGAGGGGAAATTTGGGATTTTTGGGGATGGGGAAATTTGGGATTTTGGGGATGGGGAAATTTGGATTTTTGGGTTTTCCCTTTTTGGGGAGGGGTCCGTGCTCGTGGGGGAGGGGCTAGGAGGATTTTAGGGCTGAGGGCGGCGCAGGGAGCGCGCGGCGCCGTGGCTTAGTTGGTTAAAGCGCCTGTCTAGTAAACAGGAGATCCTGGGTTCGAATCCCAGCGGTGCCTCCGCTCTGTCGCGACCATATCGCGACAGGACCGCCGATATTTTGGGCATGACGTCACCTTTTTTTTTCTTAATTTAATAAATTATTTTTCGACCAAACGCTAAATAACGGTGGGATAGAAAAAACAGGATCCGAGAGCGGAACCGGAAATAAGTTGGGAAAAAAAATTTAAAATAAATAAAATGAGAAAAGAAGTCTTCCCTGACCGGGAATCGAACCCGGGCCGCGGCGGTGAGAGCGCCGAATCCTAACCACTAGACCACCAGGGAAGCCCGGGAGCATCGTGGCGCCGGCGCCACCAGAGGTACTCCGCCACTCGCTGATTGGCTAAACCCATCCCCACGGAGTGTCAATCAAAGTGCAGACCCAATCAGAGTGCGGCTAGGGGGCGGTCGCGCCTCCGCCTCAGATTTCCCGCCGCTCGTCCCCGGCGCTGTGGGGAGGACATTTGGGGATTTTGGGGTGAAATTCGGGCATTTTTGGGAAAAATTCGGTGATTTAGGGGTGGAACTCTGGAACTGGCGGGCGAAATGCTGAGATTTTGGGGAAAAACTCGGGAATTTCGTGTGGAAATACCGGAATGTCGCGCCGAAACGGCATGCTGGGCGCTGATTGGCTGGAATGGTCCTGAAGGAGTGTCAATCAAAATTCAAAGCCAATCAGAGCGCGGCTCGGGGGCGGTTGCGCCTCCGCCGCAGGTTTCCCGTCGCTCGTCCCCGGCGCTGTGGGGAGGAAATTTGGGGATTCTGGGATGAAATTCCGGCATTTTTGGGAAAAATTCGGGGATTTGGGGATGGAAATTGGGAATTGGTGGGAGAAAGGCGGAGATTTTGGGGCAAACTTGGGGATTTCGGGTGGAAATTCGGGAATCCCGCACCGAAGCCTCTTGCTGCGCGTTCATTGGCTGGGATGGTACTGAGAGAGTGTCAATCAAAGTGTAGAGCCAATCAGAGCGCGGCTCAGGGGTGGTCCCACCCCCCCCCCAGGTTTCCCGCCTCCCGGGGTGGAGGCGATTTTCATTGATTTTGGGGTGGAATTCGGCGATTTTGGTGAAAAAATCGAGGATTTAGGTGTGGAATTCGGGGAAGTATGAGCGCAATGCGGAGATTTTGGAGCAAAACTCGGGGATTTGGGGTGGAAATTTCGGAATTTCGCGCCGAAGCCGCATGCTGGGCACTGATTGGCTGGAGTGGTCCATAGAAAGTGTCAATCACTCTGGAGAGCCAATCAGAGAGCGGCGCTGAGGTGGTTACGCCCCCCGCCTCAGGTTTCTCGCAGCTCCCTCCCGGCGCTGTGGGAGAAAATTGGGGATTTGGGGTTGAAATTCGGGAATTTTAGTGAAAAATTCGGGGATTTGGGGCAAAATTAATGGATTTCGGGTAAAACTTGGGGATTTTGGGGTGAAATTTGAGGAATTGGGCTGGAATTTGAGATTTTGGGGTGAAATTTGGAGATTATGTAGGGTTTGAGGTGGAATGTGAAGATTTGGGCTGAAATTCAGAGATTTGGGCTGAAACTCGGGAATTTTTGGGGTGAAATTCGGGAATTTTTGGGGGTGAAATTCCGCTGTTTGGGGTTGATATTCAGGGATTTGGTGGTTTTGAGTGAAATGTGGGATTTGGGGCAAAATTCAGGGATTCTGGGGTGAAATTTGAGGCAAAATTGAGGGATTTGGGCTGGAATTCGGCCATTTCGGGGTGACATTTGGGGGTTTGGGGTGAAATTCAAGGATTTTGGGCTGGAATTTGGGCGAAATTCCAGGATTTTGGCCTGCGCGGCTCCGATGCCCTCGAAACCTCATGCCGCACGCTGATTGGCTGCGCGGGTTGAAGTCAGCTGTCTATCAAATCAGAGAGCCAATCAGAGCGCGAGTCTCAGGCTTGGTGACGCCCCCATCCCGGGTTTCCCGCCCCTGGCGCTGAGGGGGAGAAAATCGGGAATTTTGGGGCGAAATTCGGGGATTTTGGGGTTAAATTTGGGGATGTTTTGGGAGGAATTTGGGGATTTTGGGGTGAAATTCGATGATTTTAGGGTTAAATTTGGGGATTTTGGTAGGAATTTGGGTCTTTTTGGGCGGAAATCTGGAATTTTGGGGTGAAATTTGGGAATTTTGGGCCGAAATTCAGGGATATGGATACAAAAATTTGGGATTTGGGGGAAGAAATTGGGAATTTTGAAGCAAAAATTGGGGATTTTGGGGCAAAAGACAAAGATTTGGGCTTGGATTTGGGAATTTTGGGGTGGAATTCGAGGATTTTGAGGCAGAATCGGGAGATTTTGGGGTAAAAATTGGGGATTTTGGGCAAAACTAACGGATTTGGGGTGAAAAGATGATTTTGAGGTGAAATTCGGGGATTTGGGTCAAAACTTTGGGATTTGAGGTGAAATTTGAAGATTTTGGGGTGAAATTTGGCCATGTGGGGTTGAAACTCAGGGCTTTGGGGTGGAGTTCAAAGATTTGGGTGTAAAAATGGGGATTTTGGGCAAAATTAATAGATTTGGGGTGAAACTTAGGGATTTTTACGTGGAATTTTAATTTTTTGTGTGAAATTTGGGGATGTTGAGGTCAATTTGAAGATATTGGGGTGAAATTCAGGGATTTGGGGTGGAATTTGGAGATTTTGGGGTTAAATTTGGGGATTTTTGTGTGAAATTCAGGGATTTTGGGGTGAAATTCAAGGATTTTGGTGTTAAATTTGGGGATTTTGGGGTGAAATTCAGGGATTTTGGGGTGAAATTCGGCGATTTTGGTCATGCACAGGACACGAAGCTGCCACCGATCGCTTTTAATCCTTTTGGGAGGGGTTTGAAGCCACGGAGGTGTCCCAGGTGTCCCCAAGTGTCCCCCAAGTGTCCCCAGGTGCCACCAACCCCCCCTGTCCTCGGGGGGCCGTGCTGGCCCCAAATCCCCCCCAAAAAATACCCCAAAATTCCCATTTGTGACATCAGTGCCACCTCAGGTGCCACCAGCAGCTGCCACCGCAGGTGTCACCTGTCCCCTGCAGGTGTCCCCTACAGGTGTCCCAGGTGTCAGGTGTCCCCACAGGTCAGGTCCCAGGTCACTCAGGTGTCACTCCGGGCTCAGCCATGTCCCCGCAGGGATCCCAGGTGTCACTCAGGTGTCACCTGTCCCCGCAGGTGTCACTCCGGGCTCAGCCATGTCCCCTCAGGTGTCACTCAGGAGTCCCTCAGGTGTCACCTGTCCCCTCAGGTGTCACTCCGGGCTCAGCCATGTCCCCGCCTCCTCCACGTCCCGTGTCACCACCAGGAACAGCTCCGAGGGAGCCTTGGCCAGCGCCGCCCGCAGGAACTGCCTGGGGACACAGGGGACAGTGAGGGACACAGGGACACAGGGACAGCAGGGACAGCAGGGACTGCCTGGGGACACAGGGGACAGTGAGGGACACAGGGACACAGGGACTGCCTGGGGACACAGGGGACAGTGAGGGACACAGGGACAGCAGGGACTGCCTGGGGACAGTGAGGGACACAGGGGACAGCAGGGACTGCCTGGGGACACAGGGGACAGTGAGGGACACAGGGGACAGCAGGGACTGCCTGGGGACACAGGGGACAGCAGGGACAGCAGGGGACAGTGAGGGACACAGGGGACAGCAGGGACTGCCTGGGGACACAGGGGACAGTGAGGGACACAGGGACAGTGACAGACAGTGAGGGACAACAGGGGACAGTCAGGGACAACAAGGACAACAGGAACTGCCTGGGGACAGCAGGGGACAGCCAGGGGACAACGAGCTGACAACCAAGTGTCCCCAGATGCCCCCAGGTGCCACCCAAGTGTCCCCAAGTGAAACTCAGGTGTCCCCAGGTGTCCCCAGTGTCACCCAGGTGTCCCCAGGCACCCCAAAGTGTCCCCAGATGCCACCCGAGGTGTCCCGGGGGTGTCTCCGAGTCATCCCAAAGTGTCCCTGAGCTGTCCCCAAAGTGTCCCCAGATGCCCCCAGGTGCCACCCAAGTGTCCCCAAGTGAAACTCAGGTGTCCCCAGGTGTCCCCAGCGTCACCCGGGCATCCCCAAGTGACAGTCAGGTGTCCCCAGATGTCCCCAGGTGCCATCCAAGTGTCCCCAGGCACCCCAAAGTGTCCCCAGATGCCACCCGAGGTGTCCCGGGGGTGTCTCCGAGTCGTCCCAAAGTGTCCCTGAGCTGTCCCCAGGTGTCCCCGAAGTGTCCCCAGTGTCCCCAGGCCCACCTGAGCTGAGGCTCCGCCCCGATGGGGGCGGGGCTGGCCAGTTTGGAGTCCAGGTTGTAGAAGGTGTCCCCGAAGGGGCGCACGCAGAGCCAGTGCGGGCGGGACAGCGGCAGCGCCAGCGTCCCCAGCGTCACCTGGTGTCCCCAGTGTCACCCAGGTGTCCCCAAGTGACAGTCAGGTGTCCCCAGATGTCCCCAGGTGCCATCCAAGTGTCCCCAGGCACCCCAAAGTGTCCCCAGATGCCACCCGAGGTGTCCCGGGGGTGCCTCCGAGCCGTCCCAAAGTGTCTCTGAGCCGTCCCCAAAGTGTCCCCAGGTGTCCCCCAGGTGTCCCCAGGCCCACCTGAGCTGAGGCTCCGCCCCGATGGGGGCGGGGCTGGCCAGTTTGGAGTCCAGGTTGTAGAAGGTGTCCCCGAAGGGGCGCACGCAGAGCCAGTGCGGGCGGGACAGCGGCAGCGCCAGCGTCCCCAGCGTCACCCGCGAGGGGACATTGAGCAGGAAGCCCAGGACGTGCGGCAGGGACAGGCGCTCCAGCGGGCTGGGGGACGGCGCGGGTAATTAGCGACGGGTTAATTAAGGGGGCGGGGTTAATTAAGGGCGATGTTGGATGGGAAGGGAAGAAAGGAGCGGGCAGAGATTGGGTCTGGGGGCTCGGAGGGGTCTGGAATTGGGGTGGGGGATGCCAGGGTTTGGGTTTGGGGTCTCAGGGGTGCTGTGAGGAATTTGGGGAGGGGTCTGCAGGGGTTTCTCCTGAATTTGGGGAGGGGTCTCACAGTCACCCCGCAGCCACCCGGCCCTGGGCGAAGGGGAAGATTGGGGGGGGTCACAAATTGGGGCTGGGGTCTCGGGGAGGTCCCAAATTTGGAGCTGCGGTCGTGGGAAGGGTCCGGAATTTGGGTCTGGGGTCTCGGGGGTGTGTCCCGAATTTGGGGAGGGGTCTCACCGCCTTTTGTCCCAAAAGCCCCCCAGAGAAAAAAGCAATTTGAGAGATCTGAAATTGGGTTGGGGGTCCCAAACTGGGTCTGGGGTCTCGGGGAGGTCCCAAATTTGGGTCAGGGATCGCGGAGAGGGTCCATAATTTGGGTCTGGGGTCTGTCCGAATTTGGGGAGGGGTCTCACCGCCGCTTGTCCCAGCTCACCAGTGTGACAATGGGGACTCTCAATAGAGATGAGGGTCTTTGAAGGCTCCAGAATTTGGGTCTGGGGTCTCAGAAGGGTCCCAAATTTGGGTCGGGGGTCACGGGAAGGGTGCGGGATTTGGGTCTGGGGTCTGTCCTGAGTTTGGGGAGGGGTCTCAGAGAGTTTCTCCCTAATTTGGGGAGGGGTCTCCTCATTGCTGTTCCCACCCCGCAGCCACCCAGCCCAGGAAAGGAGAAATTTGGAGAGTCCCAAATTGGGTCTGGGGTCCCAAGTTTGGGTCGGGGGTCACGGGAAGAGTCTGGAATTTGGGTCTGGGGTCTGTCCAAATTTGGGGAGGGGTCTCAGTGCCGCTTGTCCCACCAGCCCCAGCGTGCAAATGGGAACTCTCAATAGGGGTGGGGGGCACAGAGGAGTCCCAAATTGGGTCTGGGGTCTCAGGGAGATCCCAAATTTGGGTCAGGGCTCGTGGGAAGGGTACGGAATTTGGGTCTGGGGTCTGTCCTGAATTTGGGGAGGGGTCTCAGAGGGTTCCTCCCGAATTAAGGAAGTGGTCTCCCATCAGTATTACGACCCAACCCTGGGAAAGTGGAAGTTTGGGGGGACCCAAATTGGGTCTGGGGTCTCCCAGATTTGGGTCAGGGGTCGCGGGAAGGGTCTGGGATTTGGGTCTGGGGTCTCTCTGGGGGGAGATTCCCCTCCCCAAATTGGGTCTGGGGTCTCTCTGGGGGGAGATTCCCCTCCCCAAATTGGGTCTGGGGTCTCTCTGGGGGGAGATTCCCCTCCCCAAATTGGGTCTGGGGTCTCTCTGGGGGGAGATTCCCCTCCCCAAATTGGGTCTGGGGTCTCTCTGGGGGGAGATTCCCCTCCCCAAATTGGGTCTGGGGTCTCTCTGGGGGGAGATTCCCCTCCCCAAATTGGGTCTGGGGTCTCTCTGGGGGGAGATTCCCCTCCCCAAATTGGGTCTGGGGTCTCTCTGGGGGGAGATTCCCCTCCCCAAATTGGGTCTGGGGTCTCTCTGGGGGGAGATTCCCCTCCCCAAATTGGGTCTGGGGTCTCTCTGGGGGGAGATTCCCCTCCCCAAATTGGGTCTGGGGTCTCTCTGGGGGGAGATTCCCCTCCCCAAATTGGGTCTGGGGTCTCTCTGGGGGGAGATTCCCCTCCCCAAATTGGGTCTGGGGTCTCTCTGGGGGGGGGGGGATCCCCCCCCCCCCAGAGAGACCCCAGACCCAATTCAGTCCCTGCAAGTGGTGATGTTGTTATAAAGGGCGGGGAGAATGGGGGGAGACCCCTCCCCAAATGTGGGAATTCCCGCCTGAGACCCCTCCCCAAATTAACCCGGACACCCCCTGAGACCCCTCCCCAAATTAACCCAGACCCTCCCCGAGACCCCAGACCCAATTTGGGGAGGGGAATCCCCCCCAGGGGTCTGGGGTCTCCCAGATTTGGGTCAGGGGTCGCGGGAAGGGTCTGGGATTTGGGTCTGGGGTCTGTCCAAATTTGGGGAGGGGTCTCACCGCCGCTTGTCCCACCAGCCTGGCGCCAGCCCCAGCGTGCCAATGGGAACTCTCAATAGGGGTGGGGGGCACAGAGGAGTCCCAAATTGGGTCTGGGGTCTCAGAGAGTTCCCAAATTTGGGTCGGGGGTCGCGGGAATGGTCTGGAATTTGGGTCTGGGGTCTGTCCTGAATTTGGGGAGGGGTCTCAGAGGGTTTCTCCCAAATTAGGGAAGTGGTCTCCCATCAGTATTACCATCCAGCCCCAGGAAAGGAGAAGTTTTGGGGGTCCCAAATTGGGTCTGGGGTCTCAGGAACGTCCTAAATGTGGATCGGGGGTGGCGGGAAGGGTGTGGGATTTGGGTCTGGGGTCTGCCGGAATTTGGGGAGGGGTCTCACCGCCGCTTGTCCCACCAGACGGCCGCCAGCCCCAGCGTGCCCAGCGCCGCCATCACCACGTTGACGTCGTAGTTGCCCGTGCCCAGGGGGCTCCGGTGGGGGTTGGGCTGCGAGTTCGGGGCCAACCTGGGGGGGCTGCAGAGACCCCAGACCCAATTGGGGAACCCACAAAGTGATGACGTCATTCTGAGGAAAGGGAAGACCCTTCCCCAAATTTGGAAGAACCCCACCGAGACCCCTCCCCAGATTCAGGAATCCCTCAAACCCTCCCAAAGACCCCTACTCATATTTCCCCAAATTCCCCCAAAATTCTCTCAAACTCTCCCCTGGGACCCCTCCCCAAATTCCCCCCAAAATTTCCTCCAATTCCCACCAAAATTCCTCCAAATCACCCAAGAGACCCCTCCCCAAATTCACCCCCAAATTCCCCCCAAGACCCCTCCCCAAATTCCCCCAAAATTTCCCCAAATCACCCTGAGACCGCTCCCCAAATTCCCCTCAAATCCCCCCAAAATCCCTCCCCAAATGCCCCCAAATCTCTTCTGAGACCCCTCCTCAAATTCCCCCGAAAATCCCCCGAGACCCTTCCCCAAATTCCCTCCAAATTCCCCTCGAGACCCCTCCCCAAATTCCCCCCGAGACCCTCCCTCCCCCCTCAAATCCCCCCCCTGCTCCCCAAAACCCCCCCGAGCCCTTGCTGCTCCCCCCAAGCCCCCCCAGGACCCCTCAGGACCCTCCAAAATGCGGCCCCGGCTCCCCCTCCTCACCTCCCGCGTCCTCCGGGGCCATGGCGGCCTCTGCCCCCCTCAGGGCCGCGACTACAACTCCCGTCATGCCCCGCGCGGCGCCGGCCAATCACAGCGCGCCGACCTCCTCCCTAGAGCATCTGCCCAATCAGCGCCTTGACCTTCCTCCCGTGATGCTTTGCGCCCCAGAATTCACCAATCAATGTTAACACCTCTTCCTCCCATCGTGCCCCGCGCGGCTTCTCCACCAATCAGCTCGCGCCTCCTCCCCGCCGCCATTACAAGAAGGGCGCCACCACTGCCAGGCCTGGACCGGGATTTATTGTCCCCAAATTGTCCCCAAGACGTCCCCAAGCGGGCATTTCCGCCGCTCCTCCTCAGCAGAGCTTGACGCAGCCGCCATGCCCGGTGCAGGCTGCGGGGAGGGAGAGAATGAGCGGCCCTGAGGTGACACCGGTGACACCGCGGGTGGCACGGGTGACACCGGGGGTGACACCGGGGGTGACACGGGTGACAGCGACGCACCCTGCACGCTGCTCCAGAAGCTGTGGCGGGTGGCACTGCCGGTGACGTGGCCGGGCTCGGCGGGGTTGCGGCGGGTGCTGGTGACCGTGAGGGCGCGGCCGCCCTCGGGCACCGCGGTGACCTCGACGGTGACAATGTGACAGTCGGGGACACTGGGGACAGCGAGGGGACAGTGTGACAGTCGGGGACACTGGGGACAGCGAGGGGACAGTGTGACACTAAGGGGACACTGGGGACAGCGAGGGGACAGTGTGACACTGAGGGGACACTGGGGACAGCGAGGGGACAGTGGGACAGTCGGGGACACTGGGGACAGCGAGGGGACAGTGTGACAGTCAGGGACACTGGGGACAGCGAGGGGACAGTGTGACACTGAGGGGACACTGGGGACAGCGAGGGGACAGTGTGACAGTCGGGGACACTGGGGACAGCGAGGGGACAGTGTGACAGTCAGGGACACTGGGGACAGCGAGGGGACAGTGTGACAGTCGGGGACACTGGGGACAGCGAGGGGACAGTGTGACAGTCGGGGACACTGGGGACAGCGAGGGGACAGTGTGACAGTCGGGGACACTGGGGACACGGAGGGGACAGTGTGACAGTCGGGGACACTGGGGACAGCGAGGGGACAGTGTGACAGTCGGGGACACTGGGGACAGCGAGGGGACAGTGTGACAGTCGGGGACACTGGGGACAGCGAGGGGACACTGAGGGGACACTGAAGGGACATTGGGAACAGGAGAGTGACACTGAGGGACAGCGTGACACTGAGGGGACAGTGGAGACACTGAGGGGACATTGGGGACAGTGAGAGTGACACTGAGGGGACAATGTGACAGTCGGGGACACTGGGGACAGTGACAGGAACATTGGGGACACTGAGGGGACATTGGGGACAGCGAGGGGACACTGAGGGACAGTGTGACACTGAGGGGACACTGGGGACAGCGAGGGGACAGTGTGACACTGAGGGGACACTGGGGACAGCGAGGGGACAGTGTGACACTGAGGGGACACTGGGGACAGCGAGGGGACAGTGTGACACTGAGGGGACACTGGGGACAGCGAGGGGACAGTGTGACACTGAGGGGACACTGGGGACAGCGAGGGGACAGTGTGACAGTCGGGGACACTGGGGACAGTGACAGGAACATTGGGGACACTGAGGGGACATTGGGGACAGGAGAGTGACACTGAGGGGACAGTGGGGACACTGAGTGTGGCAGTTCAGGTGGCACTGAGGGGACACTGGGGGCTTCTGTGTCACCTTGATGGGGACAGTGTGACAGCCGGGGACAGCGGCACTGCTGTCACCTGCACGGTGACAATGGGACGGGGACACTGGGGTGACAGCAAGGGGACAGGGAAGGGACAGCGAGGGCACGCTGAGGGCTTGGGTGACACACAGGTGACACACAGGTGACACAGTGACACACAGGTGACACAGTGACACGGGTGACACAGGAGGTGACACAGAAGGTAATGAAGGTGACACAGGTGACACACGGGTGGCACAACTGACACAGAGGTGCCACAGGGGTGACACAGGGGTGACACACAGGTGACACACAGGTGACACAGTGACACGGGGGACACAGGAGGTGACACAGAAGGGAATGAAGGTGACACAGGTGACACTCGGGTTGCACAACTGACACAGAGGTGACACAGGGGGGACACAGGGGTGACACACAGGTGACACAGGTGACACCTAGGTGACACAGGTGACACAGTGACACAGGTGACAGGTGTCACACAGGTGCCACACAGGTGACACCCGGGTGACACAGGTGACACAGAAGATAATGAAAGTGACACAGGTGACACAGGAGCTGCCACACACAGCACAGGTGACACACAGGTGACACACAGGTGACACAGGTGACACAGGAGGTGCCACACACAGCACAGGTGACACACAGGTGACACACAAGTGACCCAGGAGGTGCCACAGACAGCACAGGTGACACAGAGATGCCCCAGGTGACACAGGTGACACACAGGTAACACAGGAGGTGACACAGGTGACACAGGAGGTAATGAAAGTGACACAGGTGCCCCAGGTGACACACAGGTGCCACAGGTGACAAATAGGTGACAGAGGTGACACACAGGTGACAAACAGGGGACACACAGGTGCCACAATGCCACAGAGGTAACACACAGGTGCCACAGGTGACAAACAGGTGACACACAGGTGACACAGCAGTGACACAAAGGTGACACACACAGCACAGGTAACACAGGTGCCACAGGAGGTGACACAGGTGACACAGAGGTGCCACAGGAGGTGCAACCCAGGTACCACAGGTGCCACACAGGTGACACACAGGTGCCACATGAGGTGACACCCAGGTGCCACACAGGTGCCACCCAGGTGACAGAGGTGACACCCAGGTGACACATGAGGTGGCACAGAGGTGCCCCAGGTGCCACAGGAGGTGACATGGGTGACACAAAAGTGACACAAAGGTGACACACACAGCACAGGTAACACAGGGGTCACATGGGTGACATGCCACACAGGTGACACCCAGATGACAGAGGTGACACCCAGGTGACACATGAGGTGGCACAGAGGTGCCCCAGGTGCCACAGGAGGTGACATGGGTGACACAAAAGTGACACAAAGGTGACACACACAGCACAGGTAACACAGGGGTCACATGGGTGACACATGAGGTGACACAGGTGCCACAGGTGCCACACAGGTGACACAGCAGTGACACAAAGGGGACACACACAGCACAGGTAACACAGGTGCCACAGGAGGTGACACATGAGGTGACACAGGTGACACACAGGTGACACACAGGTGACACAGCAGTGACACAGGAGGTGACACAGAGGTGACACCCAGGTGTCCCCGGGTGGCAGCGCCCACCTGGGGTCGGCCACCAGGCAGGCGGTGACGCCGTCGAAGCCGAGGCGCGGCGCCGCCACCGCGGCCGCCGCCATGGTGTTGACGTTGTTGGGGACGAGGGGACAGAGCGGCCGCAGGGGACCCTGGTACAGCACCGTCCTCGTCCCCGCGGCCACCGCGGCCGCCACGCGCGGGGACAGCCAGCCCTGGGCGCGGAAACTGCCGGGGGCCTTGGTCATTGTCACCTTCAGAGCCTGGGGACAGGGACAGGGACATTGTCATTGTCATTGTCATTGTCACTGTCATTGTCATTGTCATTGTCACCCCTGGGGACAGCCAGCCCTGGGCGCGGAAACTGCCGGGGGCCTTGGTCATTGTCACCTTCAGAGCCTGGGGACAGGGACAGGGACATTGTCATTGTCACTGTCATTGTCACTGTCACTGTCACCCCTGGGGACAGCCAGCCCTGGGGACGGAAACTGCCGGGGGCCTTGGTCATTGTCACCTTCAGCGCCTGGGGACACAGACAGGGACATTGTCACTGTCACCTTGGGGACACAGGGACATTGTCATTGTCACTGTCATTGTCACTGTTGTTGTCATTGTCACCCTGGGGACAGCCAGCCCTGGGCACGGAAACTGCCGGGGGCCTTGGTCATTGTCACCTTCAGAGCCTGGGGACACAGACAGGGACATTGTCACTGTCACCTTGGGGACACAGGGACAGCCAGCCCTGGGCACGGAAACTGCCGGGGGCCTTGGTCATTGTCACCTTCAGCGCCTGGGGACACACAGGGGACACTGTCATTGTCATTGTCACTGTCACTGCCACTGCCACCCCTGGGGACACATGGTCAGGGTCTGGGGACAGCAGGGACAGCCAGGGGACACGGCCAGGGGACAGTGGGACACGATCGGGGACTGGCCCCAAAGGCAGGACATTGTCCCCAAACTCTGTCCCCAAGGGCAGGAAATGTCCCCAATGTCCCCATTGTCACCAGGGCTACTCACGGCCAGGGTCCCCGCGCTGTCCATCCTGGCCATGTCCCCAGTGTCCCCACTGTCCCCATTGTCCCCAGCAGTGTCCCCAGTGTCCCCACTGTCACCTGCAGTGTCCCCGCGCTGTCCATCCTGGCCATGTCCCCACTGTCCCCATTGTCCCCAGCAGTGTCCCCAGTGTTCCCAGCCATGTCCCCAGGGGTGTCACCTGCAGCGTCCCCGCGCTGTCCATCCTGGCGATGTCCCCAGTGTCCCCACTGTCCCCTGCAGTGTCCCCACTGTCACCTGCAGCGTCCCCGCGCTGTCCATCCTGGCGATGTGCAGTGTCCCCACGCTGTCCATCCTGTCCCCAGCAGTGTCCCCACTGTCCCCAGCAGTGTCCCCAGTGTCACCTGCAGCGTCCCCGCGCTGTCCATCCTGGCGATTTCCCCATTGTCCCCATTGTCCCCAGTGTCACCTGCAGCGTCCCCGCGCTGTCCATCCTGGCGATGTCCTCGCAGCCCCACAGGGCCCCCCTGGGCACGTACAGGGTGTGGCCCCCGCGCGCCGCCGCCGCCCGCAGCCGCCGCTCAGTGCCAGCGTCCGCCAGCGCCGTGGGGGACCCCAGCTGGGACACGGGGACACGGGTCAGTGGGGACACGGGGACAATGGGGACCCCAGCTGGGACACGGGGACAATGGGGACCCCAGCTGGGACACGGGGACAATGGGGACCCCAGCTGGGACACGGGGACACGGGTCAGTGGGGACATGGGGACAATGGGGACCCCAGCTGGGACACGGGGACAATGGGGACCCCAGCTGGGACACGGGGACACGGGTCAGTGGGGACACTGGGGACAATGGGGACCCCAGCTGGGACACGGGGACACGGGTCAGTGGGGACACGGGGACAATGGGGACCCCAGCTGGGACACGGGGACACGGGTCAGTGGGGACACTGGGGACAATGGGGACCCCAGCTGGGACACGGGGACACGGGTCAGTGGGGGGACACCAGGGGGGGTCGGGGACATTGGGGACACCGGGGACACCGAGGGAATTTGGGGACATTGGGGACATTGAGGGGACATTGGGGACATTGAGGGAATTTGGGGACATTGGGGACATTGAGGGGACATTGGGGACATTGGGGAGACTCAGGGGCATTGGGGGGATTTGGGGACATTGAGGGGACATTGGGGACATTGGGTATTTTGGGATTTTTTCAGGTTTTTTGGGGCTGTTTTGGAGCATTTTTGGGGTGAATTTTGGGATATTTGTGGAATTTGGGATACTTTGGGATGGATTTGGGATTTTTTGGGGTGAATTTGGGATTTTTTGGGGTGAGTTTGGGATTTTTTGGGGTGAATTTGGGATTTTTTGGGGTGAGTTTGGGATTTTTTGGGGTGAATTTGGGTTTTTTTTGGGGTGAATTTGGGATTTTTTGGGGTGAATTTGGGATTTTTTTGGGGTGAGTTTGGGATTTTGGGGTGAATCCGGGCAGTTTTGGGACGGATTTGGGATATTGAAGTTCAGGATATTTTTGGGGTGAATCCGGGATATTTTTGGGATATTTTTGGGGTGAATTTGGGTCAATTTTGGGACATTATTTGGACATTTTTGTGGTGAATCTGGGCGGTTTTGGGGGTGAATTCCGGACATTTTTGGGCCATTTTTGGGATGAATTCGGGACATTTTTGGGATGAATTTGGAACATTTTTGGGACAAATTTGGAACATTTTTGGGACATTTTTGGGCTGAATCCGGACGGTTTTTGGGGTGAATCCCAGACATTTTGGGGCCATTTTTGGGCTGATTTCGGGACATTTTGGGTTATCTTTGGGCTGAATTTGGGCCATTTTTGGGGTGAATTCAGGACATTTTTTGACCATTTTTGGGGTGAATTCTGGATATTTTTGGGCCATTTTTGGGCTGAATTCGGGCCATTGGCCATATTTGGGATGAATTCGGGACATTTTTGGGATGAATTTGGAACATTTTTGGGACAAATTTGGAACATTTTTGGGACATTTTTGGGCTGAATCCGGACGGTTTTTGGGGTGAATCCCAGACATTTTGGGGCCATTTTTGGGCTGATTTCGGGACATTTTGGGTTATCTTTGGGCTGAATTTGGGCCATTTTTGGGGTGAATTCAGGACATTTTTTGACCATTTTTGGGGTGAATTCTGGATATTTTTGGGCCATTTTTGGGCTGAATTCGGGCCATTTTGAGCTGAATTTAGGCCATTTTGGGCCATTTTTGGGCTGACTTCGGGCCACTTTGGGCCATTTTGGGCTGAATCCGGGCCTTTTTGGCCATTTTTGGGCTGACTTGGGACCATTTTGGGCCATTTTGGGCTGAATCCGGGCCTTTTTGGCCACTTTTGGGCTGAATTTGGGACCATTTTGGGCTGAATCCGGGCATTTTTGGCCATTTTTGGGCTGAATTGGGACCATTTTGGGCCATTTTGGGCTGAATCCGGGCCTTTTTGGCCACTTTTGGGCTGAATTTGGGACCATTTTGGGCTGAATCCGGGCATTTTTGGCCATTTTTGGGCTGAATTGGGACCATTTTGGGCCATTTTGGGCTGAATCCGGGCCTTTTTGGCCATTTTTGGGCTGAATTTGGGCCATTTTGGGCCATTTTTGAGCCATTTTGGGCCGGTCGGGGTCGCTCACGTGCTCGGCAGCTCGCTCAGGTCGCGCAGGCGCAGATGGGGCGGCAGCGCCTCCAGCGCCTCCCAGCGGCGAGCCCAGACAAAGGCGAGGGACAGACCGAGGGACGGACCGAGGGACAGCAGCTGCGACACCAGGAACTGCCCTGGGGACAGCGGGGACAGCCCTGTGACACAGGGACAGACCGAGGGACGGACCGAGGGACAGCAGCTGCGACACCAGGAACTGCCCTGGGGACAGCGGGGACAGCCCTGTGACAGCAGTGTCACCTCCCCCCTGTCACCTCCCCCTGTGACACCAGGACATGCCCTGAAGGGACAGCCCTGTCACCCCCCAGTGACAGCAGGACCTGCCCTGGGGACAGCGGGGACATGGGGATTGTCACTGTCACCTCCCCCTGCGACACCAGGAACTGCCCTGGGGACACCGGGATTGTCGCTGTCACCTCCCCCAGGACAGCCCTGTCACCTCCCCCTGTGACAGCAGGACCTGCCCTGGGGACATGGGGATTGCCGGGATTGTCACTGTCACCTCCCCCCTGTCACCTCCCTCTGTGACATCAAGAACTGCCCTGGGGACATGGGGATTGTCCCTGTCACCTCCCCGCTGTCACCTCCCCCCAGTGACAGCAGGACATGCCCTGAAGGGACAGCCCTGTCACCTCCCCCTGTCACCTCCCCCTCCGGTACAAACCAGTCCAAACCAGTATACCCAGTACCGAGCTTGCCGTATCCCAGGATCCCGACGCGCCGAGTCTGTGGCTGCTCCTCCATGGCCTGGGGGCCAATTAACGCTAATTAACGCTAATTAACCCTTAACTGACACCATTTAACCCCTAATTAACCCCTAATTAACCCCAAAATAACCCTAACTAACCCCCAATTAACACTAATTAACCCCTAATTAACACAGAAATAACCCTAACTAACCCCCAATTAACACTAATTAACCCCTAATTAACACCAAATTAAACATAACTAACCCCCATTTCACACTAATTAACACTAACCCCAATTAACACTAATTAACCCCTAATTAACCACAAAATAAACCCTAATTATCACGAATTAACCCTGAATCAACATCGAATTAAGACTAATTGACACTAATTAACCCCCAATCGGCACTAATCAACCCCTACTTAACCCACAATTAATCCTACTTAATCCAAATTAATACTAATTAAGCCGACTTAATAGTAGTTAACCACCAAATAACAACAATTAACCCCCAATTAACGCTATTTAACCACTAATTACCCCAAATAAACCCCACTTAGCTCAAATTAACACCCAATTAACAATCATTAACCCACAATCTACATTAATTAACCCCCAATTAATAAGAATGAATCCCCAATTAACCATGATTAACCCCTAGTTGATCACCTAATGAGCATTAATATCGAATTAACTCCCAAATAAGCCCGTAATTAACACTAGGAACCCCCTAATTACCACTCAACGCCCTCTTAATTAACCCGCAACCCCACTAATTAACTCCCGAGCCCCTTTAATTAATGCACAACCCCTAATTACCCCAAGCGTCTTCTTAATTAACCCCCAAACCGACCTAATTAACCCCTAATTAACCTGCAAACCCGCCTAATTTAATCCTAACCCGCTTAATTAACCCTCAAACCCCCTAATTAATAAAAAAATCCCTAATTAAGCTCCCAACCACCCCTAATTAACCCTGTACCCCTCTAATTACCCCCAAACCCCCCTAATTACCCCCAAATCCCCTTAATTAACCCCCAAACCCCTTTAATTAACGCCTAATTTCCCCTTAATTAACCCCAAACCGTCCTAATTAACCCCCTAACCTTCTAATTAACCCCTAATTAACGCCCAAATGCCCCTAATTAACCCCCCCACCCCTTAATCACCCCCGAGTCACCTCTTCTCGAGGCTAAACACCCCCAGCTCCCCCCCTTAATCACCCCCTCAATCACCCCCAGCCCCCCCAATTCCCGCCCTAATTAACCCACACTCACTAATTAGCGGTCGCTCCCCTCCCCCTCCCTCGCCCTTTGCCCCCCCAGGGGGCACTTCCGGAGGGGGGCGGAGCCTGGATCAGTGGGCGGGGCCTGAGGCTTGGGGGCGGGGCCTGGGGACCTTTGGGGGCGGGGGTGAGACCCCAAATTTGGGAGATTCCATTTTTTTGGGGGGGGTGGGGCGCGCCTTTGGGACCCTAAATTTGGGGAGGGTCCTCAACTTTTAGACGATTCCATTTTTTTTGGGAGGGGGTCGCTTCTCTGGGACCCCAAATTTTGGGGTGGGGGGTCCCCAATTTTTGGGCGACTCCATTTTTTTTTGGGGGGGTGTCCCTAAATTCTGGGTGCGAGGAACCCCAAATTTTGGGGCGATTCCATTTTGGGGGGGGGGGGGTTGGCCCCCTCAGCCCCCAAATTTGGGGAGGTTTTCCCATATTTTAGGGGGGTCTCCAATTTTGGGTTTGTCGCGCCCCTGGGACCCCCAAATTTTGGGAGGGGGGGGTCCCATTTTTGGGTCCTCCCCTCCCCATTCCCATTTTCCCGGAGGGGGGCGGCGATTCCCGCTGTCCTCGCTGTTCCCGTTGCTATGGGAACCACCCCTCCCGTTCCCATGGCAACCGCCGTTCCCCTGAGTCTCGCCCCCCCCTCGGCTCAGCGGTTCCCGTTGCCATGGAAACATTACCCCCCGCGCTGTTCCCACACTTGAGCCGCCTCCCTCCGCGCCGCCGTCGCCATGGTAACGCCGCAGTGCTCTCCCCCTCCCCCCGCGCTGTTCCCATGGCAACGGGAACAGCGGGGAGAGGGGACACCCCCCCCCGGGACCTGGGGGGGGGGGTGGTATTTTGTGGCATTTTTTGGGGGGTTTTTTGGGGAATTTTGGGGCTATTTGGGTTTTTTTGGGGGAAATTGAAGAGTTGTTCGTGGTTTTGGGGAGTATTTGGTGGTTTTGGGGTTATTTATAAGTGTGTTTTGGGTATTTTATAGATTATTTGGGGGTATTTTGGGATATTTATTGGGCGATTTTATGATATTTTGGGGTGGGTTTGGGGCACTTCGGGGGATTTTGGTGGTTTTGGGGTATTTCAGATGGTTTTGGGGTGATTTTGGGGCATTTTTGGAGTGGTTTTAGGGGATTTGGGAGATATTTGGGGTTTTGGGGGGAATTCGGGGGGACTTTGGTGGTTTTGGGGCAGTTTTCAGGGGTTTTGGGATATTTTGGAGTGGGCTTTGAGTATTTTTGTGTGATTTTGTGTGATTTTTTTGGGTAATTGTGGGGGATTTTGGGGTATTTTTAGGGTTGATTTCAGGATATTTCGGCATTTTTGTGCGTTTGGGGTATTTTAGGTGGTTTGGGCCCGCCCTCCGCAGGGGGGGGGGGGGGTGGGGGGGGTGGTATTTTGTGGCATTTTTTGGGGGGTTTTTTGGGGAATTTTGGGGCTATTTGGGTTTTTTTGGGGGAAATTGAAGAGTTGTTCGTGGTTTTGGGGAGTATTTGGTGGTTTTGGGGTTATTTATAAGTGTGTTTTGGGTATTTTATAGATTATTTGGGGGTATTTTGGGATATTTATTGGGCGATTTTATGATATTTTGGGGTGGGTTTGGGGCACTTCGGGGGATTTTGGTGGTTTTGGGGTATTTCAGATGGTTTTGGGGTGATTTTGGGGCATTTTTGGAGTGGTTTTAGGGGATTTGGGAGATATTTGGGGTTTTGGGGGGAATTCGGGGGGACTTTGGTGGTTTTGGGGCAGTTTTCAGGGGTTTTGGGATATTTTGGAGTGGGCTTTGAGTATTTTTGTGTGATTTTGTGTGATTTTTTTGGGTAATTGTGGGGGATTTTGGGGTATTTTTAGGGTTGATTTCAGGATATTTCGGCATTTTTGTGCGTTTGGGGTATTTTAGGTGGTTTGGGAGCATTTTTAGGGTATTTTGAGCATTTCTAGGGAATTTTTGGGGTGTTTTTAGGATATGTTTGGGCGGTTTTAGTTAATTTTGCGGTGAAGGGAGAAAAGACTGGGAAACATGAGGGGAGAAAAGAGCGGGACATGGAAGGCAAAAAGGACAGTAAACAAGAGAAAAGGATTGGAAACGAAATGAAGAAAAGATAGGAAACAAGGGGAGAAAAGGGCAGGAAATGTGAGGGGGAAAATGGTGGAAAAACATGACGGGGGAAATGTGAGGGAAGAGAAGGGCGGGAAACGTGAGGGGAGAAAAGAGCGGGAAACGTGAGGGGAGAAAAGAGCGGGAAACGTGAGGGGAGAAATAGCGGGAAACGTGAGGGGAGGAAAAGGCAGGAAATGGAAGGCAAAAAGGACAGTAAACCTGAGTGAAAAGGACGGGAAATGAGAGGAATAAAAGGTATGAAACAAGGGGAGAAATTGTGAGACATGAGGAAATATGGTAGAAAACATCAGGGGAAAAACGTGAGGGGAGAAATGGGCAGGAAACATGAAGGGACAAAATGGTGGGGATCATGAAGGGAGAAAATGGTGGGGATCATGAAGGGAGAAAATGGTGGGGATCATGAAGGGAGAAAATGGTGGGGATCATGAAGGGAGAAAAGGGTGGGAAACATGAGGGCAGAAAAGAGCAGGAAATGGAAGGCAATAAGGACAGTAAATGGGAGAAAAGGATGGGAAATGAAAGGAAGAAAAGGTAGGAAACAAGGGGAGAAAAGGGCAGGAAACGTGAGGGGGGGAAAATGGGGGAAAAACATGACGGGGGAAACGTGAGGGGAGAAAAGGGCGGGAAATGTGAGGGGAGAAAATGGTGGGGATCGTGAAGGGAGAAAAGGGCAGGAAATGGAAGGCAAAAAGGACAGTAAACTTGAATGAAAAGGACGGGAAATGAGAGGAAGAAAAGGTAGGAAACAGAAAGGAAGGGAAGGAAACTTGAGGGGAGAAAAGGGCAGGAAACATGACGGGACAAAATGGAAAGAGGAATAAAAGGCATGAAACAAGGGGAGAAATTGTGAGAAACATGAGGAGGAAATATGGTAGAAAACATCAGGGGAAAAACATGAGGGGAGAAATGGGTGGGAAACCTGAGGGGAGAAAAAGAGAGGGAAACGGGCGGGGCAAAATGGTGGGGATCGTGAGGGGAGAAAGGGCGGGAAATGGGAGGGGGAAAAAAGCATTGAAACATGAGGGGAAAAGGCTGGAAATGGAAGGCAAAAAGGACAGGAAACTTGAGGAAAAAGGAGGGGAAATGAGAGGAAGAAAGAGTAGGAAACAAGGAGAGAAAACGGTTGAAAATGTGAGGGAGGAAACGTGAGGGGACAAAATGGTGGGGATCGTGAGGGGAGAAAGGGCGGGAAATGGGAGGGGGAAAAAAGCATTGAAACATGAGGGGAAAAGGCTGGAAATGGAAGGCAAAAAGGACAGGAAACTTGAGGAAAAAGGAGGGGAAATGAGAGGAAGAAAGAGTAGGAAACAAGGAGAGAAAACGGTTGAAAATGTGAGGGAGGAAACGTGAGGGGACAAAATGGTGGGGATCGTGAGGGGAGAAAGGGCGGGAAATGGGAGGGGGAAAAAAGCATTGAAACATGAGGGGAAAAGGCTGGAAATGGAAGGCAAAAAGGACAGGAAACTTGAGGAAAAAGGAGGGGAAATGAGAGGAAGAAAGAGTAGGAAACAAGGAGAGAAAACGGTTGAAAATGTGAGGGAGGAAACGTGAGGGGACAAAATGGTGGGGATCGTGAGGGGAGAAAGGGCGGGAAATGGGAGGGGGAAAAAAGCATTGAAACATGAGGGGAAAAGGCTGGAAATGGAAGGCAAAAAGGACAGGAAACTTGAGGAAAAAGGAGGGGAAATGAGAGGAAGAAAGAGTAGGAAACAAGGAGAGAAAACGGTTGAAAATGTGAGGGAGGAAACGTGAGGGGACAAAATGGTGGGGATCGTGAGGGGAGAAAGGGCGGGAAATGGGAGGGGGAAAAAAGCATTGAAACATGAGGGGAAAAGGCTGGAAATGGAAGGCAAAAAGGACAGGAAACTTGAGGAAAAAGGAGGGGAAATGAGAGGAAGAAAGAGTAGGAAACAAGGAGAGAAAACGGTTGAAAATGTGAGGGAGGAAACGTGAGGGGACAAAATGGTGGGGATCGTGAGGGGAGAAAGGGCGGGAAATGGGAGGGGGAAAAAAGCATTGAAACATGAGGGGAAAAGGCTGGAAATGGAAGGCAAAAAGGACAGGAAACTTGAGGAAAAAGGAGGGGAAATGAGAGGAAGAAAGAGTAGGAAACAAGGAGAGAAAACGGTTGAAAATGTGAGGGAGGAAACGTGAGGGGACAAAATGGTGGGGATCGTGAGGGGAGAAAGGGCGGGAAATGGGAGGGGGAAAAAAGCATTGAAACATGAGGGGAAAAGGCTGGAAATGGAAGGCAAAAAGGACAGGAAACTTGAGGAAAAAGGAGGGGAAATGAGAGGAAGAAAGAGTAGGAAACAAGGAGAGAAAACGGTTGAAAATGTGAGGGAGGAAACGTGAGGGGACAAAATGGTGGGGATCGTGAGGGGAGAAAGGGCGGGAAATGGGAGGGGGAAAAAAGCATTGAAACATGAGGGGAAAAGGCTGGAAATGGAAGGCAAAAAGGACAGGAAACTTGAGGAAAAAGGAGGGGAAATGAGAGGAAGAAAGAGTAGGAAACAAGGAGAGAAAACGGTTGAAAATGTGAGGGAGGAAACGTGAGGGGACAAAATGGTGGGGATCGTGAGGGGAGAAAGGGCGGGAAATGGGAGGGGGAAAAAAGCATTGAAACATGAGGGGAAAAGGCTGGAAATGGAAGGCAAAAAGGACAGGAAACTTGAGGAAAAAGGAGGGGAAATGAGAGGAAGAAAGAGTAGGAAACAAGGAGAGAAAACGGTTGAAAATGTGAGGGAGGAAACGTGAGGGGACAAAATGGTGGGGATCGTGAGGGGAGAAAGGGCGGGAAATGGGAGGGGGAAAAAAGCATTGAAACATGAGGGGAAAAGGCTGGAAATGGAAGGCAAAAAGGACAGGAAACTTGAGGAAAAAGGAGGGGAAATGAGAGGAAGAAAGAGTAGGAAACAAGGAGAGAAAACGGTTGAAAATGTGAGGGAGGAAACGTGAGGGGACAAAATGGTGGGGATCGTGAGGGGAGAAAGGGCGGGAAATGGGAGGGGGAAAAAAGCATTGAAACATGAGGGGAAAAGGCTGGAAATGGAAGGCAAAAAGGACAGGAAACTTGAGGAAAAAGGAGGGGAAATGAGAGGAAGAAAGAGTAGGAAACAAGGAGAGAAAACGGTTGAAAATGTGAGGGAGGAAACGTGAGGGGAGAAAGGGCGGGAAATGGGAGGGGGAAAAAAGGATTGAAACATGAGGGGAAAAGGCTGGAAATGGAAGGCAAAAAAGATCATAAACGAGTAAAAAGGATGGGAAATAAGCAGAAGAAAAGGTGGGAAACATGAGGGCAGGAAAGGTGGGAAACGTGAGGGGAAAAGACAGGAAACAGGAAGGAAAACGGGTGTTAAAGGGAAAAAAACCAAACAACACGAGGCCAAAATGATGGGAAATGTGAAGGGACAGAAGGACGGGAAGTGTGAGAGAAAAACTGGTGGGAAACCTGAGGGGAAAAGTGAGTAAAAAAGGGAAAATGGTGAGAAAAATGACCAAAAAAGAGCCCTGGGGTGCTTCATTTCCTTAGTGCTGCCATGGCCACAGTAAGTCCTTGCACTGGATTTTGGGGGAATTTGGGGGGTCCCGCCTGGGTGTGTGTTTGTGTGTATTTTGGGAATGTCAGACCCCCTCCCCAAATCATGAGGCCTCCCAAATTGTCCCCCGAATCGTGTGACCGCCTCCCCCAAAAGTTCGACCCCAAGACTGAGCCCCCCCAACCCACGTGTCCACCCCCAAAATGGGAACCTTAAATTCGGACATCCCACCTCAAAAATGAGACTTCATTATGGGACCCTCAAACCCGATTCCCCAAGTTGAGTGACTCCCCAAAACCTGAGCAACCCCCCAAATTCACGTCATCCCCCCAAAATCTGAACCCCATTCCCACAATCTCTCCAAATGTTGAACCCTAAAATCTGACATCTCACCCCAAAATGAGACCCCCCCCCATTGTAGGACCCCCAAACCTGACTGCCCAGAGTTGAGACTCCCCCAAATTTCACCCCCCCAAACTGTGTGAATGGCCAGAGCCCCCCCCCAGAGAAAAGGGGGGAGGGGGACACACACAGACCCTGCTGGGGTGATTTTGGGGGGGGTCCCTAAAAAGGGGGTGCCCCAATTCTTGTGGGGGGGCTGTCGTCAAAAGGAGGGGTCCCCAAATGTGTGTGGGCCCCCATTTTTGGGGTGCAGCTCTTGGGGGGAGGTGTCCCCCAATTTTGGGGGGGGTCCCTGTGTCCTGGGGGGGTCCACAGGCCTGTCAGGAAATGGGGGGGGGGTTCCCCCAGAGCTGTTCCCATTTTTGGGGTGTCCCTACCCTTTGGGGGTGTCCCCATTTTTGAGGTGCCCTCCCACCCCCAGGGGGGGGTCTGTCCCACTCCTCCCCCCCATTTTTGGGGATCCCCTGATGTTTTGGGGTGCCCTGGGGGGGTCTCAGGTGTGTCCCCAATCCCACCCCTGCTGCAGGAGCTCCAATCCTTATCCCAAAAACATCCACCCCCCCATTTCGAGAGGCTTTTGGGATGGTCCCAATTTTTGGGGGGGGTCCCTGTATTTTGGGGTGCCCCCCTCCACATTGGTGTCCCTATGGGAAGAGGCCCAGTCCTTGTCCCCCCCGCCGTTCCGGGGCTGTCACCCCGTTTTTTGGGGGGTGTCCCCGTTTTTGGGGGGTGTCCCCGTTTCTGGGGGGTGTCCCCACATTGGTGTCCCCGTTTTTGGGGGGTGTCCCCGTTTCTGGGGGGTGTCCCCACATTGGTGTCCCCGTTTTTGGGGGGGTGTCCCCACATTGGTGTCCCCATCCCGGCAGCTCCGTCCCCATGGCAGGAGGTTCAGTCCTTGTCCTGGGGGTGTCCCCCCGCCGTTTTGGGGTGTCCCCCTGTTTCTGGGCGGGGGTGTCCTCCTCTTGGGGGTGTCCCCATTTGGGGTGTCCCTGGCTGGGGTGTCCCCGTGTTGGGGGTGTCCCCATTCAGGAGTGTCCCCTTTTGGGGTGTCCCCCATTCAGGGGTGTCCCATTCGGGGGTGTCCCCGCTGGGGTGCCCCCATTGGGGGGTGTCCCTGTTGGGGTGTCCCCATTCAGGGGGTGTCCCCGTTGGGGTGTCCCCGTTGGGGTGTCCCCATTCGGGGGTGCCCCCATTCGGGGGATGTCCCCCTGGGGTGTCCCCATTGGGGTGTCCCCCAGGGTGTCCCCATTCAGGGGTGTCCCCATTCAGGGGGTGTCCCCATTGGAGTGTCCCCGTTGGGGTGTCCCCATCAGGGTGTCCCCATTCAGGGGATGTCCCTGCTGGGTTGTCCCCATTCAGGGGTGTCCCCATTCGGGGGTGTCCCCATTCGGGGGTGTCCCCCGGGGTGTCCCCATTCGGGGGTGTCCCCCGGGGTGTCCCCATTCAGGGGTGTCCCCATTCGGGGGTGTCCCCCGGGGTGTCCCCGCCGGGGTCAGGCGCACTTGGCGCGCGCCTGGGCCAGGAGGTCGCTGAAGGAGTCGAAGAGGCGCTCGAGCCAGGGCTGGTTGCGCATGCAGCGCTGCACCACCTCCTCCTGGCCCAGGTCCTCGGCGCGGCCCTCGATGGCCGTCGTCTGCGGGGACACGGGACAGCGTCAGCGCGAGCGCTCAGTGCGTGGGAGAGGTCAGTGGGGCAGGGAGTGGTCAGTGGGGTAGGGAATGGTCAGTGGGGTAGGGAATGGTCAGTGGGGCAGGGAATGGTCAGTGGGGCAGAGATGACCACCACGGGATGGCCGCCGTGAGCGGGACGGTCACTGCGGCAAAGTGACCAAAGTGACCACCAGCGTGGTCAGCGTGAGGGGATGGACACAGGTGACAGGGCATGGACACAGGTGACAGGGGACGGACACAGGTGACAGGGGATGGCCCAGGTGACAGGGGATGGCCCAGGTGACAGGCAGGTGACCCAGGTGACAGGGTGTGGCCCAGGTGACAGGGTGTGGCCCAGGTGAACAGGGGTGTGGCCCAGGTGACAGGCAGGTGACCCAGGTGACAGGGGTGTGGCCCAGGTGATGGGGGCATGGCCCAGGTGACAGGCAGGTGACCCAGGTGACAGGGGTGTGGCCCAGGGGATGGGGGCATGGCCCAGGTGACAGGCAGGTGACCCAGGGGACAGGGTCAGGGAATGGTCAGTGGGTGGGGAATGGTCAGTGGGGTGGGGAATGGTCAGTGGGGCAGGGAATGGTCAGTGGGGCAGGGAATGGTCAGTGGGGTGGAGATGACCACCACGGGATGGCCGCCGTGAGCGGGACGGTCACTGCGGCAAAGTGACCAAAGTGACCACCAGCGTGGTCAGCGTGAGGGGATGGACACAGGTGACAGGGCATGGACACAGGTGACAGGGGACGGACACAGGTGACAGGGGATGGCCCAGGTGACAGGGGATGGCCCAGGTGACAGGCAGGTGACCCAGGTGTCAGGGTGTGGCCCAGGTGACAGGGTGTGGCCCAGGTGACAGGGTGTGGCCCAGGTGATGGGGGCACGGCCCAGGTGACAGGGGTGTGGCCCAGGTGATGAGGGGATGGCCCAGGTGACAGGCAGGTGACCCAGGTGACAGGGTGTGGCCCAGGTGACAGGGTGTGGCCCAGGTGATGGGGGCACGGCCCAGGTGACAGGGGTGTGGCCCAGGTGATGGGGGCATGGCCCAGGTGACAGGCAGGGGACCCAGGTGACAGGGTGTGGCCCAGGTGTCAGGGGGGTGTCCCAGGTGACAGGGGGTGTGCCAGATGTCCCAGGTGTCCCCGGTGCCCCCCAGGTGTCCCCAGGTGTCCCAGGTGTCCCCGGTGCCCCCCAGGTGTCCCAGGTGTCCCCGGTGCCCCCCAGGTGTGCCAGGTGTCCCCAGATGTCCCAGGTGTCCCCGCTGCCCCCCAGGTGTCCCAGGTGTCACAGGTGTCCCAGTCCCTCAGGTGTCCCAGGTGTATCCCCAGGTGTCCCAGGTGTCCCCAGGTGTCCCCAGGTGTCCCAGGTGTCCCCGGTGCCCCCCAGGTGTCCCCAGATGTCCCAGGTGTCCCCGGTGGGGCCCCAGGTGTCCCCGGTGTCCCCAGGTGTGCCAGGTGTCCCCAGGTGTCCCCCAGGTGTGCCAGGTGTCCCCAGGTGTCCCCCCAGGTGTCCCCAGATGTCCCAGGTGCCCCCAGGTGTCCTCCCCAGGTGCCCCCCAGGTGTCCCCAGATCTCCCAGGTGTCCCCAGGTGTCCCAGATGTCCCAGGTGTCCCCAGGTGTCCCCGGTGCCCCCCAGGTGTCCCCAGGTGTCCCAGGTGTGTCACCTCGTCCTTGCAGCGCAGGAAGGTGTGGTACTTGTAGTGGTGCAGGGAGTGGTACAGCGTGTACAGGAACGACTTCTCCACCTCCACCTTGAACTCCTGCGGGGACAGCCGGCCTCAGGGACCCCCGGCACCCCCAGACCCACCTGAGACACCCAGACCCACCTGGGGATCCTCTGGGACCCCCAGACCCACCTGAGACACCCCAAACCCACCTGGGGATCCTCTGGCACCCCCAGACCCACCTGAGACACCCAGACCCACCTGGGGGTCCTCTGGGACCCCCAGACCCACCTGAGACACCCCAAACACACCTGGGGATCCTCTGGGACCCCCAGACACACCTGAGACACCCCAAACACACCTGGGGATCCTCTGGGACCCCCAGACACACCTGAGACACCCCAAACACACCTGGGGATCCTCTGGGACCCCCAGACACACCTGAGACACCCCAAACACACCTGGGGATCCTCTGGGACCCCCAGACCCACCTGGGGATCCTCTGGGACCCCCAAACCTGCCTGAGACCCCCCCATGGGACCCCCAGACCCACCTGAGATCCTCCAAACACACCTGGGGATGCCACAGGACACCCCAAACCCACCTGGCGACCCCAAACCCATCTGTGCCTCCCCTGGTGACCCCCAAATCCCACCTGGGACCCCCAAATCCCCCCTGGGACTCCTCAGGGACCCCCAACCCTACCCCTACCCACGCTCCTCTTGACCTTGCTGAGGGTTTTGTGTTGTGAACACCCCATGGACCCCAAAACCCACCTGTGACCCCCTAGAACTCACCTGTGACCCATCTGAGACCCCCCAAACCCCCCGTGACCCCTCAGGGCCCCCCCGTGACCCCATACCTGGGGCTTGCCCACGCTCCTCTTGACCTTGCTGAGGGTTTTGCGGTTGTAGGGGTCCCCCCAAACCCCCCAGGACCCCCAGTGACCCCGTACCTGGGGCTTGCCCACGCTCCTCTTGACCTTGCTGAGGGTTTTGCGGTTGTAGGGGTCCCCCCAAACCCCCCAGGACCCCCAGTGACCCCGTACCTGGGGCTTGCCCACGCTCCTCTTGACCTTGCTGAGGGTTTTGCGGTTGTAGGGGTCGCCCCCCGGGCGCAGGCGCACCAGGGACTCGCCGGGCTCGGCGTGCAGCTGCGGGAAGGTGTGCAGGGCCTCCTGCGGGGCAGCGCGGGGGACAGGTGAGCGCGGGTGTGCACAGGTGAGCACGGGGGTGCACAGGGGAGCGCGGGGGCACAGGTGAGCGCGGGTGTGCACAGGTGAGCGTGGGGGGATCGGGGCAGTTTTGGGGGGTCCCTGGGGGGGCGGGGCTCACCGTTGGTGTCCTCCAGGGCCTGGATCATGTCGGGGTCCAGGGCGGTGCTGACCAGCATCTCCACGTAGCTCCGGTACATTTCCTTCATGGCCCGCGTGTTCAGCACCCGCCCGGGCGGGGCCCGCTCTGCGCGACACCGCCCCTTTAAGGGGAGGGGCTCAGGGACACGCCCACCCCCCAGAAACGGGGGAAACCCCCGCCCACAACTCAGAGACACGCCCCCGTTATAAAGGAGCGCGGGCCCTTTAAGGGAGAGCCACGCCCCTTTAGGGGAGCCACGCCCCTTTGAGAGCCACGCCCTTTTAAGGGAGTCATGGCCTTTTATGGGAGGGCCACGCCCTTTTAAATGATGGCCGTGTCCTTTTAAATGAGGGCCACACCCCTTTAAGGGAGAGCCACGCCCCTTTCAGAGAGCCACGCCCCTTTAAGGGAGAGCCACACCCCAGTCATAAAGGAGTGTGTCACTTTAAATCAGAGCCACGCCCCTTTGAGTGAGCCACGCCCCTTTAAGGGAGCCACGCCCCTTTAGGGGAGAGCCACGCCCCTTTGCATGTGAGCGACACCTTTCCAAATTTTGGGGTTCCCTCAAATTTGGGGGTTTCCTTCCCAACCCTTCCCAAATTTGGGGTCCCCTCCCCAAATTTTGCCATCCCATCTCCAAATTTTGGGGTTCCCCCCAAACTTGGGTCTCTCCCCAAATTCTGGGCCCCCCCCAGATCTTTGTGTCCTCTCTCAAATTTCAGGCTCCCTTTCGGGCCCTTCTCGGATTTTGGGGCTTTTTCGGCTTTTTGGGGTTTCTCGGGAGGCTCGGCTTTGGGCGGGGGAGGGGGCTTGGGGGCGCTGGGTTTGGGGTGGTTTTGTCTCCTGGGGGAGGGGGAGGGAAAAAGGGGAGGGGTTAGAGGGGGGCGTGGCCAGGTGAGCCCCCAGGTGTGCCCCGGTGTGTCCAGGTGTGTCCCCAAAATGCCCCCAGGTGTGTCCCCAAAGTGCCCCCAGGGGTGTCCCCAAAGTGCCCCCAGGGGTGTCCCCAAAGTGCCCCCAGGGGTGTCCCCAAAGTGCCCCCAGGGGTGTCCCCAAAGTGCCCCCAGGGGTGTCCCCAAAGTGCCCCCAGGGGTGTCCCCAAAGTGCCCCCAGGGGTGTCCCCAAAGTGCCCCCAGGGGTGTCCCCAAAGTGCCCCCAGGGGTGTCCCCAAAGTGCCCCCAGGGGTGTCCCCAAAGTGCCCCCAGGGGTGTCCCCAAAGTGCCCCCAGGTGTGCCCAGATAATTCCAGGTGTGTCTCCAGGTGTGCCCAGGTGTCCCCAGATGTCTCCAGGTGCCTCCAGCAGTCCCCAGGTGTGTCCAGATGTCCCTAAGTGCCTCCAGGTGTGTTCTCAGACGTGCCCAGGTGCTCCCAGGTGCGCCCAGATGTGCCCAGGTGCTCCCAGGTGTGCCCAGGTGTGTTCCTGGCTGTCCCCAGGTGCTCCCAGGTGCGCCCAGATGATTCCAGGTGTGCCCCCAGGTGTGTGCCCAGGTGCCCCTCAACTGTCCCCCAACTGTCCCCTAGGTGCCCCCAGTTGTCCCCAGCTGTCCTCAGGTGTGTCCCAGGTGTGCCCCAGCTGTGCCCAGGTGTGTCCCATGTGTGCCCCAGCTGTCCCTAGGTGTGTCCCCAGCTGTCCCCAGGTGCCCAGGTGTCGTCAGGTGCCCAGGTGTGTCCCCAGGAGTGTCCCCAGCTGTGCCCAGGTGTGTCCCCAGGTGTGCCCCAGCTGTGCCCAGGTGTGTCCCCAGGTGTGCCCCAGCTGTGCCCAGGTGTGTCCCAGGTGCCCAGGTGTGTCCTCAGCTGTGCCCCCAGGTGTGTCCCAGGTGCC